GTGAGCAGTTAAAGCTATGTGTAGGTTTCAGAAAGGTCAACCTGCCCACTGCCCACCAGAAGTGGATCTGGAAGGTAAAGGACAAGGGGGCTCTTCCTAGAGCAAGCTGGTCCAATCTGTGGCCCAGAACGGCTTTGAATGCGGCCAACACAAATTTGTAAACTTTCTTAAAACATTATGAGATGTTTTGCCAACCGCGGTGGTGCATGCCTGTAACCCCAGCATTTTGGGAGGCTGAGGCAGGCAGAGAGGTTAAGAGATCGAGACCATCCTGGCCAACATGGTGAAACCCCCTCTCTACTAAAAATACAAAAATTAGCTGGACATGGTGGCATGCGCCTGTAGTCCCAGCTACTCGGGAGGCTGAGGCAGGAGAATCGCTGGAACCCGGGAGGCAGAGGTTGCAGCGAGCCAAGATCACGCCACAGCACTCCAGCCTGGGCGACAGCAAGACTCAAAAAAGAAAAATCAAAAACCTTCCAAGGGTGGAGAAGAAAGTATGCCGAAGCCAGCTGACCTCAGACCCAATTTCCACTTCAGCCGCAGGAAATGGACGCGCCTATGCAGGCAAGAAAAATGCCAGTAGCCCAGGAGCCAATAAAATCTGTCCTCTCCAAAAGCACAGCAGCAGTTTTCCTTTCCCGGGTAAGCGGGTGGGGAAGAAGCAGAGGAAACAGGGAGGTCAGGCTTGAGCGCCCCCTGGAGGCTCATGCAATTATTTGGCTATAAGTACCCCGCTTTCCTGAAATCTGGAATTTAGCAGAAAGTATCAGGGGGCTATTCACTGTCTTGGAAGAATAACTTTGTCATTGGTTTGGTCCAGGCTCTTTGGTTGTGTCTGAAACTCAAGGCTGGAGGAAAGCCTATGTAGCTGATACTGTCTGTGACCTGATTTTTGCTTCCAAACAGCCCAAAGCAGAAAACCTTTTATTTACATATGCCTTTTTGTTTTGGAAACAGGCAGTTGTACAGCATGGTTGTATAATTTAGGACATTTTGGTAACAGGAACCAACTCAAATTAGGTTAAGCAGGCCGTGCGCCTAAGCCTGTAATCCCAGGATTTTGGGAGGCTGAGGTGGGAGGATTGCTTGAGCCCAGGTGTTTACCAGCCTGCCAACAACATAGTGAAACCCCATCTCTACAAAAAATACAAAAATTAGCTGGGCATGGTGATGCGTGCCTGTAGTCACAGCTACTCGGGTGGCTGAGGCACAAAAATCGCTTGAACCTGGGAGGCAGAGGTTGCAGTGAGCTGCGATCAAACCACTGCACTCCAGCCTGGGCAACAGAGCAAGACTCTGCCTCAAAAGAAAAAAACAGAGTACTCATAAAAACCAACATCCTTATGTCTAAATATTTAAAGCTCTAAAAAATGAAGCTAGCAAACTGTTTAATGTTCTATCCTCTTACCTTGACAAAGATGGTATTATAGTGGCAAAATTAAAAAGAACTGTAAAGTTGTGGGGGTTTCTTTTTCTTTTTATTTTTTTTTTATTTTTTTTGAGATGAAATTTTGCTCTGTTGCCCAGGCTGGAGTACAGTGGCACGATCTCACCTCATTGCAACCTCCGCCTCCCATGTTCAAGTGATTCTCGTGCCTCAGCCTCCTGAGTAGCTGGGATTACAGGCACGTGCCACCATGCTCAGCTAATTTTTTGTATTTTTAGTAGAAACAGGGTTTCACCATGTTGTCCAGGCTGGTCTCCAACTCCTGACCTCAGGTGATCCACCCCCCTCAACCTCCCAAAGTGCTGGGATTACAGGCATGAGCCACCACACCAGGTCATTTGTTCTTACTCATCCAAACATCAACAATCCATCAACTGAACTCCAAGGTATGTATAATAATAATTAAATTTCATTGCTTGATACGTTGCCTACTTTTAATTGTTCAAAAAATCACCACTTGACTGGATGCAGTGGCTCACATCTGTAATTCCAGCACTTTGGGAAGCTAAGGTGGGCAAAAATGCAAAAATTAGCTGGACATGGTAGCGAGTGCCTGTAATCCCAGCTACTCGAGAGGCTGAGACATGAAAATCGCTTGAACTTGGGAGGCGGAGGCTGCAGTGAGCCAAGATCACAACACTGCACTCCAGCCTAGGTAACAAAGTGAGACTCTGTCTCAAAAAAAAAAAAAACAAAGACACACACATATGTATAATTTGTAAATTATCATATATTTATGCCACATAATTTAATTTTCTGGCTTTTATTTCAGCAAAATCACTGATTATGCTTTTATAATCAAGATTTTTCATATAATTTGTACTCCAAGAACAGTTCAAAGTAAAGCAGCAAACTACAGCCAAGAGCCAAATGCAGCCTGTGGCTTGTTTTTGAATGAACCCATAAACTCTCAGTATGGCTTTTACAGTTTTAGATATACATTTTTAAAAGAATATGTGGGCTGTAATCCCACGCCTATAATCCCAGTACTTTGGGAGGCTGAGGTGGGTGGATCACGAGGTCAAGAAATTGAGACCATCCTGGTCAACAAGGTGAAACTCCATCTCTACTAAAAATACAAAAAATTAGCTGGGCATGGTGGTGCGCACCTGTAGTCCCAGCTACTCAGGAGGCTGAGGCAGGAGAATTGCTTGAACCCAGGAGGTGGAGGTTGCGGTGAGCTGAGATCGTGCCATTGCACTTCAGTCTGGGTAACAACAGTGAAACTCCGTCTCAAAAAAAAAAAAAAAAGAATATGTGACAGAGACCTTATGTGACCTAAAATATTTACTACCTGTTCTTTACAAAAGTGTTTGCTGCTCCCTAATCTAAAGCAATGCTACTTAAAGTGTGATCTGAGGCCTGGTCTGGAGCTCTTTGTCATTGGCCTACAATGGGATAAGGGGCTCGTGCCAGAATCCCTAATCACAGTTTAAGTTGAGCTATTTTTTTTCATAGCAAGACTTTACTTTTTTTTTTTTTACTTAAAAAAAGTTTGAAATATAGAGACAGGGTCTCACTATGTTGCCCAGGCTGGTCTTGAATTCCTGGGCTTAAGCAATCCTCCCACCTCTACCTCTGCCTCCTAAAGTGCTGGGATTACAGACATGACCCACTGTGTCTGGCTGACACTTCCTTGTCTTTCTTTCTTTTTTTGAGACAGGGTCTCATTCTGTTGCCCAGGCTACTGGAGAACAGTGGCAGGATCTCAGCTCACTGCAACCTCTGCCTCTTGGGTTCAAGTGATTCTCCTGTCTCAGCCTCCCAAGTAGCTGAGATTACAAGTGCATGCCACCACACCTGACTAATTTTTGTATTTTTAGTAGAGACAGGGTTTCACCATGTTGGCCATGCTGGGCTCAAACTCCTGACTTTGAAGAGTCCACCCACCTCAGCCTCCCAAACTTCTGGGATTAGAGGTGTGAGCCACTGCGCCCGGCAGAATTAGGCAAATTAAAAATTTTGTATTTTCCTTTTACCTAAGCATGTTGTAGCTGAAATCCTACCAATACTCCAAAGCACCGTCCACAAACTTTCATTGCATTTGGATGCAGTCGCCTTCTGATATCACAAGGCAAGAGATGTGGAGAAACATTTTCCCTGGGGCCTGAATAGCATTAGTCCCAAGAGTGGATGTTTAGGGTTACCAGTCATGTAGTACTAGCCCAGAGCACTTGATCCTAAGTGACAGAGATGCCCGGGCTTCATCAGTAAATTTGCGTGTCTGTGAAATGCAGGGGACGCTAGAGCACAAGGTCCAGGTAGGGGCTCTTCTTGCTTGGATCTAAGGGCAGTCATATGGGACTGTGTTGGAATGGGACAACATAATACTGTTTCCCTAGATAGCTGTGCTTGTTTAGCTTATTTTTCCTTTCAATTGAAGGCTATTTGTCTTTTTTTTTTTTTTTTTTTTTGCTAGAGATGGGGGCCTCCCTATGTTTCCCAGGCTGGCCTCAAACTCCTGGGACTTAGTCAGTCTTCCTGCCTCGGCCTCTCAAAGTGCCTGGATGACAGGCGTGAGCCACTGTGCCCAGACTATAGTGATGCATAAAAATGCATGAACTATTGCACTAAAAGGATTCTGCATGTTAGTTAAAGCCATAAAAGCTGTAGCAATATAATCTTTATGACATATCATGAATCAGGCATTTTGGGGAGGATAAAAAATGACTGCTAGTCTCTATCCATACCTCAGAAATGCTGAATTAAGAGATTTGTTTACCTCAGGATTTCTCAGAGGCTTTACTACACTAATGTGAACTGCGGCCTGCCAAGAAAGAGACACAGCATGCGGAATTTCTCAAAATTATTTGAGCACCAAAATTGATTTTGCTGTAAATCTGTTTTTCAGGAATTTTTATTGATATCTCAGAGAACACATTTTTAGCGATCCCAAACTACCCTAGGCCACGTTCAGGGGGAAAAAGCTTCCAGGTAAACCGAAACTGTGAAGGCAGGGCTGGAGGGGTCATGGAATCTGCCGACCCCCAAGCAGCAGAAAGGCTTATCCAACAAGAGGATGGATGCACTCTGTAAATGACATGAGTGTCGAGTGATCGGCAACTGGCCTCCAGTCCCTGGAGCTTGGTGGCTTACCGCACTCACACTGTCTGTTCGCCATCACACTTTGGCATGGGCTCTGAGTTCAATCCCTGGCATTCTGGAATGGGCCTGGAGCGAGTCTGATTCCAGGGCCACCTTTGTTCTGGTAGACAGTGGGACAGCCCCAGGGCCTTCTTCCCCTCTCAGATGCCTGGATGCCTGCTTTTAGGCTCCCAAGAAGCTCACTCCACAGACCCTTCCTCCGCTGCCTAGGAACTGCTGACCCCTTCGCTTCTCTCATCCTCTGACCTCGGCTGCCTAATTCTGCAATTGGACCGAACTGAACCAGGCTACAAACCTCCTCAAGACAAGGATTGTGGGTTGTTCACATTTTTTGAGTCCACAAGGTAGAACCCAGTGAAAATGTAGGGATGACAGTGATACTGGAGCCGATACTTCTGACTGTGGCAGAATCTCCACCAAACAACTATCAAGGACCAGGCAGCTGTTCTTTTGAACGAGGACACCAACCAATGTCTTTTAATGTGAGATCAGATGAGATGATGTGAGATACCATACATGCAAATGCTTCATAAAAGGCAGGGCACTGTACAAACCATCATTGCTAATAATACAGTCTCCACTGCCCTAGTCAGTGACTGGTTCATTTCTAACGACCCTTCACCTTCGATTGGTACTTCCAGTAACTGAGCAACATCCCTTTGCCCTACCCACCAGCTGGGTCGCTACAATGTTCATCTATCAGGAGTCCAGTTTTTGGTGGCCCCAACCACTGGTTCCACTGCTATAGATACCATAACCAGCCAGCCTAGTGCTTCTTCTACGGCCCCACACCTTTATGTGGCACACTGGAGATGGTTCTTGAAGTAATGGAGAGCCAGCTTGAACTGGACCTGGGCGAGGGTGTTGGCCCGGTATGTGTCGTAGGTCTTCTTCAGGGCAGCCAGCTCTGGGTCCACCACTGGAGACCGAGACTGGTGACCTATAGTCACTTCTGGGCATGACCCCACGAGTAGAGTCCCTAGCCCATCAATGAAGAATTCTGCAAAGAGAAGGAGAGCAGAAGGAAGTGGAGCTGCGGTCAGAGAAGTGGGTACTGTTCTAGGTCTGGGAGGAGAGTCCCAGGAAGAGGACACAGTTCATACACTGGGGAGGTTCAGCCCCACGTGAAGCCCCACCCTTAACTCTAGGAGCCTGTCCCTGCTGAGGAGTGGGAAGGAAATAATAAACTCATTTCTCAGGCAGAAATATGGGCACAGAAGCAGAGAGGCACAGATTGGCTTTCAAACTGGCAGAACTGTGGACTCCAAGGCTGACAGAGTAAGAGGGAAAGAGAGAGCAGTCAATATGAAAGGATTTCTGGAAAAATAGGATATGAAGCAGCAAGGGAAAGGAGGAAGAAGGCAGAGCTGTAGAGAAAGGCAGGGGAAGAAAAGGGCAGCCTACAGGAGACAGAAGTCAAAGAGGTGTGAGGAGGGAGGCAAGAGGGATCAAGAGCTCCCTAGTCTGGGAAGAAAGGGAGAAAGGGACGCACTGCTGGGCAGACAGCCAGGTACAGCCCTTGGAAAGAACAAACTTCTGCAGCTAACTCTCAGCCCAGCTCCCTTCCTCACTGTTTCTGCCTTCCCACCTGAGTGAGCCACTCGTCGCAGGCGGGGATCAAAGCCAACTCTCTGGAGTCGCTCTGTGTGGGCCAGGAAGAAGTTGACCACGCCACTGGTCACCACACAGCTGGGGAAGCCATCCAGGGGTTGGAAAAATCCTGTCCTCTTGTGAAGGCAGGCCCCGTTCTCACTCTGTTCCAGCAACAGCTTAAACTGGAACACATTTCCCAGCACACTGCCGCCTACCTAGCCAGCAGGCAGAGAAATCCACGTTAGAGAGTGCAGATCAATATTCCCCCTGCCTCTTCCAGGAAACGCTGCTGGACTGCACCTTGGTTATAACGAGAATTGTTATTTCTCCATCTCTCCCTCAAATTATCCTTCAGTCACTCCCTTTTTGCTGTTATGGCCATGGCTTTCACTATACTACTCCTTGGGCTGTTTGATTTCCTGCCTACCCCAGAAAATCTCCTTGGCATGAGTAGCCCTTACCCAAGGCCAAAGAAGGTTATCTTTCCAGAGGAAGTTAAGTCACTCCCCTCCATTACCTGTACTGCAGATGACGAAGGTTGAAAAATTCCCTATTGGGTACAATGTTCACTATGAAGGTAATGGGTGCACTAAAAGCCCAGACGTCACCACTATGAAATACATGCATGTAAGCTGTCTGCACATGGGCCACTAAATCTAGTCAACAGAGGGAGGTAGAAGTGCTGCACACACACCATTTTATTTATTTATTTATTTATTTAATTTATTTTAGATGGAGCTTTGCTCTGTCGCCAGGCTGGAATGCAGTGGCATTATCTCAGCTCACTGCAACCTCCGCCTCCCAGGTTCAAGTGTTTCTCCTGCCTCAGCCTCCTGAGTAGCTGGGACTATGGGTACATGCTACCACGCCCAGCTAATTTTTGTATCTTTAGTAGAGACGAGGTTCCACCAATATGGTCTCAATCTTTTGACCTTGTGATCTACCGGTCTCGGCCTCCCCGAGTGCTGGGATTACACGTGTGAGCCACCACACCTGTCCACAATAAACATACCATTTTATTTTTTTTTGAGACGGAGTTTCGCTGTTGTTACCCAGACTGGAGTGCAATGGCACGATCTTGGCTCACCACAACCTCCGCCTCCTGGGTTCAAGCAATTCTCCTGCCTCAGCCTCCCGAGTAGCTGGGACTATAGGCACGCACCACCATGCCCAGCTAATTTTCATATTTTTAGTAGAGACAGGGTTTCACCTTGTTGACCAGGATGGTTTCGATCTCTTGACCTCGTGATCCACCTGCCTCAGCCTCCCAAAGTGCTGGGATTATAGGCGTGAGCCACCTCGCCCGGCTTAAACATACCATTTTAAAGGAGAACACAATTGCAAATGAGGAAGGGGGTGTAATTTGCTCAAAGAAAAGTCAGTGTAGAGGTGTGAGCTGGTGCAGCACTCTCCACCTGGGTTGCACTGGCCTATTCACCTCCTGCACCAGGCCCACTCCCTCCTCACCCTCCACCTCCTCTTCTCTTATATATTTTTTCCCTCTCTCTTCTCCCCACTTGTCCATCCCTACAGATTGCAGCTGGGTGAAACTGACAACTGTCCCTTACCACATCCAGTTCCGTTTTCTCCAGGACATCCACCAACATCTCAATCTTGGTCTCACTGTTGAAGAGAAAATCATCGTCCACCCAGAGAACATATTTGGTGGTGACCTGAGATATGGCCAGGTTCCTACCAGCAAACCACCCCTGTAGATGAAATCAGATTAGATAAGTGCTTGCCCATATTACATATTGGAATCACCTGGGGAGCTTTCCAAATTCCCAACAGCCAGGCTACATGCATTCCAGACACATTCCATCAGAATTGGTGGGAGCGAATCCAGTGTGCAGCCAAGGCTGAGAACCACAGGGATGAAGAAAGTCCATGTCTCAGAGAAAGTCTGGAAGGGACAGGGACTACTGCATCAAAGACTGAGACAAAGAAAGACTAGAAAGTCTTTCCTTGGCTCTGTGGCCTATATGAATTGGGTGAAGTCCCTTTTCGCTTGACAGTTTCTGTGGCTTTCCTTTTGTCTCCTGTAAGATGTCAAGTTTGAGGGACATCTGGTATGTATAGTATTTGTTTCCTCCTGTGTCCTTGCAGAAAGGAAGGCGGAGAGAGAGGGAGGAAGAGAATGAGAGCGAGAGAGATTAGCAGGGAGAGGGAGAGGTGGCAGGAGAGAGAGGGAGAGTGAGAAGAAGGGAGGGAGAGGGAGAGAGAAAAAGTGGGGAGGGAGAGAGAGTCAAGGAGAAAGAGGGAGAAAGAGGGAGAGAGGAGAGAGAGACTAAGACGCTAGCTTGGGTAGAATCATGGAGAGGAGTGATTTCTCTACATCTCAGGAATCTTTGTGATGTCAGAGACCTCAAGCCACTTATAAGGACTGCAATCAATTTCCACATCAGAAATGAGGAAAGACGGGAGTGAAGCACAGTGGCTCACCTCTGTAATCCCAGCACTTTGGGAGGCCTACGTGGAAGGATCGCTTGAGCCCAAGAGTTCAAGACTAACCTGACCAACACAGTGAGACCCCATCTCTACAAAAATTTTTAAAAATTAGCCTGGCATCATGGTGCATGTCTATAGTCCCAGCTACTAGGAAGGCTGAAGTGACAGGATCACTTGAGCCTTTAAGGTCAAGGCTGCCATGATCACCGTGATTGCACCACTGCATTCCAGCCTAGGTGACAGAGCAAGACTCTAGCTCAAAAAAATGAAAAATAAAAAAATAGAAATGAGGCTCTGGGTATGGCGGCTCACATTTGTAATCCCAGCATTTTGGGAGGCTGAGGTGAATGGATCACCTGAGGTCAAGAATTTGAGACCAGCCTGGCCAACATGGTGAAACCCTTTCTGTACTAAAACTACAAAAAATAGCAGGGTGTGGTAGTGCACGCCGGTAGTCCCACCTACCCGGGAGGCTGAGGCAGGAGAATTGCTTGAGCCTGGGAGGCAGAGGTTGCAGTGAGCTGAGATCACACCACTGCACTCCAGCCTGAGCAACAGAGCAAGACTTCGTCTCAAAAAAGAAAAAAGAAAAAAAAAAATGAGGCAAAGTGGAAGAACTACCTCATGAATGCAGAAAAGTGAGGGTGACCCAATTTCTCTCTGAATCAGCAAGGGGACTCAGGGGACAGTTCTCACCCACTCCCACTGCTGGACTCTGCTTCCTTGGAAAGACCCCTGAGGAAGCAGCACCATCCAGGGTAGAACATGACCCTGGGGCCCTCTTGTCCTGGAATGCAAGTGCCCCCCAATCTGAGAGGGACATACCTTCCCAAACGGCATGGTGTAATATTCCACGTGATTGTCTTTAATCTCCAGGGGCTTCCCACTGTCGTCAGCCACTATGACGGTCAAGTCTGGGTAATACTCTCGAATACTCCGGAGCATGGTCATAAGCTTATGGGGGCGGAGGAAAGTCTTGGTGGCAATGGTTACCAGGTTTCTGAGCTTCCTCTCTAGGTAGAAAACAGTGGGTGTCAGAGCTCTGTCCTGTAGGAAGCTTCATTGTCTTTTCCTGCTTTGATCTGATGGCTTCTTTATGCCATAACCTGTCAGTATCTGTGGGCCTTATGCCTCTTGTCCCCAGGAGGTGCTTAATAAGAGTTTGCTAGTTGCATTAGTAAATAAAGACATTTACAACATACCCAATGTGTTGCATTTCCTGGTTCTGTTGGCTCCACTATGCCATTTCCCAACTGTCTGTCTGAATGTTTCATTTATACTTGCCTATTAGCACTTTGCTTGTTTCCTGCTTTCATCTTTTGTTTGTTTGTTTGTTTGTTTGTTTAAGACGGAGTTTTGCTCTTGTCGCCCAGGTTGGAGTGCAATGGTGCAATCTCGGCTCACTGTAACCTCTGCCTCCCAGGTTCAAATTATTCTCCTGCCTCGGCCTCCCAAGTAGCTGGGATTATAGGCATGCATCACCACATCTGGCTAATTTTGTATTTTTAGTAAAGATAGGGTTTCACCATGTTAGCCAGGCTGGTCTCAAACTCCTGACCTCGTGATCTGCCTGCCTTGGACTCTCAGAGTGCTGGGATTACAGTCATGAGCCACCACACCCGGCCTTCATCTTAATATTAGGAGTTGAGATGCACAGAGCTTTCCCATCTCAGAGTTCAATATGGAGAGTCATGGAGCCCAGGAAGAGAAGAAGACATCTACAGATCTTGAGACTTGCTTCTACCACCATCTGCAGCTCCTACAGAAAAGCTTACCTGATCTCTACTCTCAGGATGACATGGTTAGAAATAGGTCTACTTGGAGATTGCAAGGCCTGGACCGAATTGCCCATCTTAAGGCATGTGCCGTATAAAAGACTGGAGAGGGGACAGCTTTCCTATGGAAAAGACCCCATGAGGATGCAACTGGAGCTGCTGGTGTGTTTGGGATTCAGCCACTAAACAGGGAACTGTCAGCTGACTGTGCAGTTGCCACGTCCACGTGGCTTGGGGCCAGCTTGAGTTAATGCATGCTGGAAGGCACACCCCTCCCTGTTTGTGGGTGAAGGCACAGAGCCACTTTCCAAGAATGACAGGAATCAGAAGTCCTTTGGACAGAAGTTGTTCCAGAACCCTCCCCCTGTGCTGTCCTTTGGCACTTTTTTTTTTTTTGAGACAAGTTCTTGCTCTGTCACTTAGACTCGAGTTTAGTGGCGTGATCTCAGTTCACTGCAACCTTCATCTCCCGGGTTCAAGTGATTCTCCTGCCTCAGAGTCCCAAGTAACGTAGCAGAGACTAGGCATGCACCACCATGCCCAGCTAAGGTTTGGATTTTTTTTTTTTTTGAGACGGAGTTTCGCTCTTGTTACCCAGGCTGGAGTGCAATGGTGCGATCACGGCTCACCGCAACCTCCGCCTCCTGGGTTCAAGCAATTCTTCCTAAGTCTCCTGAGTAGCTGGGACTACAGGCGCACACCACCATGCCCAGCTAATTTTTGTATTTTTAGTAGAGATGGGTATTCACCATGTTGGCCTGGGTAGTCTTAAAGTCCTGACTTCAAGTGATCCGCCCACCTTGGCCTCTCAAAGTGCTGGGATTATAGGTGTGAACCACTGCGCCTGGCCCATTCTGTCTTTTGTCATTGCAAACAGTGCTGCAATAAATAACCTTGAACAAATATCATTTCACACAGATATAAATATCTGTAGGATAATTTCTAGAAATGGACTTGCTAGCCTAAAGGATATACACATTTAAAATGTTGATAGATAGATGCTGCCAATTCCCTCCAGAGAGGTGCTGATTTACATTCTTAACAGCAGTTGATATGCCGTTTTTCCAACCCTGTCCAAAACCTTTTAATGTGATTTTTGTTTTTGTTTTTGTTTTTTTTGAGGAGAAGTCTTGCTCTGTCGCCCAGGCTGGAGTGTAATGACATGATCTCGGCTCACTGCAACCTCCACCTCCTAGGTTCAAGCGATTCTCCCACCCCAGCCTCTTGAGTGGCTGGGATTACAAGCATGTGTCACCATACCAGCTAAGTTTTGTTTTTTTTGGTTTTTTTGAGATGGAGTTTCACTCTTGTTACCCAGGCTGGAGTGCAGTGGCGCGATCTTGGCTCACCGCAACCTCCACCTCCTGGGTTCAAGCAATTCTCCTGCCTCAGCCTCCCGAGTAGCTGGGACTACAGGCATGCACCACCATGCCCAGCTAATTTTTGTGTTTTTAGCAGAGACGGGGTTTCACCTTGTTGACCAGGATGGTCTTGATCTCTTGACCTCGTGATCTACCCACCTTGGCCTCCCAAAGTGCTGGGATTATAGGCATGAGCCACCGCGCCCAGCTGTTTTGTATTTTTAGTAGAGACGCGGTTTCACCATGTTGGCCAGGCTGGTCTCAAACTCCTGACCTCAGGTGATCCACCTGCCTCAGCCTCCCAAAGTGCTGGGATTATAGGCCGGAGCCACCATGCCCAGCCGAAAGTAGTTTTCATATGTGCCTTTCTCAGTGTGAGAGTGGGCATATATTTTAATGGCTAAACATGTTGCTGAATTTGATTTTTTCTGAATTGTGCATTTTTCCATTATTGGGTGTTCTTTTCTTATTGAGTCATGGCTGCTCTAATGAGACCTTTGTCTTTAATGTGAGCTGAAGACTTTTTCCCAATTTGGCCTTTGTCATTTGACTTTACTAATTAAAATTTGCTAATTTTAATATATAAAATTTTATATATTTCATATTTTTAATTTTTTATGGTCTCTGAGTCGTGTCATGCCTTATATCCTAAGACTGTTTTTTAAACTCCATTTTTGTTTCCAGTACTTTAAAATGTATTTAGATATCTGATCGATTGGAATTTATCTTGGTATGTGACATAGATTCAAGTTTTACTTCTAATTAAAAAATTATTTTTCAGTTATTAATTTGTTTTGAGACAGGGTCTCATTCTGTTGTCCAGGCTGGAGTATAGTGGCGATCATGGCTCACCACAGCCTCAACCTCCTAGACTCAAGCGATCCTCCCATCTCAGCCTTGTGAGTAGCTGAAATTACAGGTGTGAGCTGGATTACAGGTGCAAGCCATCACACTTGGATTAAAACTTTCTGTCTTTCATATAGCTACACCATTAGCTCACGTGATTTTTTGAATAAAACATTTTTAATTTGTTCATTTGTCCTCCTTTAATTTGACAAGCCTTTTTTTTTTGAGACAGATTCTTGCTGTGTTGCCCAGGCTGGAATGCAGTGGCGCAATCTCGGTTCACTGCAACCTCTGCCTTGTGGGTTGAAGTGATTCTCCTGCCTCAGCCTCCTGAGTAGCTGGGATTGCAGGTGCCTGCCACCACGCCCAGCTAATTTGTGTACTTTTAGTAGAGATGGAGTTTCACCATATTGGCCAGGCTGGTCTTGAACTCCTGACCTCAGATGATCTGCCCACCTTGGCCTCCCAAAGTGCTGAGATTACAGGTGTGAGCCACCTCGCCCAGCCAGACAAGCTGTCTTTATCGCACAGTGAAATTCCAACATGTATTGGGTTTATATCTGGATTTCCAATTTCATTCAGTACCACTCTTTTCATTATTATTACTTATTAAAATGTTATAATTCATTAGCTTTTTTCCCAAAATTAGCATGAACCCCACAGTAAGTTAAAAATCATTAAGAAATTTTAGGGGAGTGTGTCCTAGAGGTTTTTTTTTTCCTCCAAATGAAGCTTGTTGTCAGGGAGCATATCAGAGGCTGTCATTTGATAAATTCTCCATCTCAGAAGTGATCCCTTCTGAATTTCTTCAATAGCTTCACAGAGTGCCACCATGGAGCCCCAAGGACCAGGGCCTTACCTGGTCCAGGGTCGTACAGCTTGGGTATGACAGGATTGCGGATGGTCACTGGAAACTTGGCCACTGAAGATCTGGACTCCAGACTCACTGGAGGAAAAAATAAGGTCATAGCACAGGCAGTATCATGTCTGGATCAAACTCCAGGCCACCCCAGGAAGCCAGCATGACAGGGGAGTGCAGGTTTGGTAGGGAGAGTCCTGGCTGGGATGAGATTATGGACCTCATAGAGTCTCTGGCATTCCGGCTCCTGTCTTGCTGCGTCCCTGGGGCAACGCGCTGAATGCCTCCTAAGTTCACATGTCTTCTCTTAAAATAAACAAAAAATATATATTATAATAGGATTGGTGTAAATATTAAATAATTTTTTGGAGTGCCTCGCACATACAGGTGTTTTTAAAACATTAGCTCCCAGGCTGGGTGCCATGGCTCACTCCTGTAATCCCAACACTTTGGGAGGCCAAGGCAGGAGGATCATGAGGTCAGGAGTTCTAGACCAGCCTGGCCAACATAGTGAAACCCCATCTCTACTAAAAATACAAAAAAATTAGCTGGGTGGCAAGCACCAATAGTCCCAGCTACTCAGGAGGCTGAGCCGGGAGAATTACTTGAACCTGGGAGGCAGAGGTTGCAGTGAGCCGAGACCGTGCCATTGCACTCCAGCCTGGGCAACAGAGTGAGATTCCATCTCAGAAAAAAAAAAAAAGAGGAAAGAGGGAAGGAATCTTAAAAGCAGGTAGGCTTCCTGGAGGAGGAAGACTGAGAGGGCCCAGAGGTATCTTCTGGATCCGTAAGCATTTGGCACCCCAAGGACAGGCTCTCACCTATGTCCACCTTATGGTGCTGGTACCCCATGCTGGTGTATGTCACGTGCTGAAGGATGAACTTCAACAGCTTCCGGTCACTGGTAGAAATGGTCAGCTGCTTCTGGCCTCTGCCCTGCACCACATTGTCTGGGACATCAGCAAGGGTGTTCAGTGTCCCCAGAGACGCTGTCAGGGTGACCTAGGGTGGGTGAGGTAGAATGATGCTCAATGCAGGGACCAGAAAATGTGTCTCTGGAAAGGTACATACCCAGGCCGGAGCACATAAGGGTGAGGGGAGAAGCACCAGGGCACCCTTGACAGTGTAGGGCTGGCTCTGCAGGGAGCACTGAATTAGCGCCCCTGTACCCAACCCCCTAAGTCCTAGGGCCCCATGGATGAAAGGACCCATTTCTGGAAATATTCACATCTCTCAGCTTGCAGGGTTCCATTCTTCTTGACTTCTTACTCCACCTTTGACCTCTCTTTGCCAACTCCTGCTCTCCTCTTCTCACTATATATCTCTAAATGGAGTTTTTCAGACCTTAATTCTGGATTCTTTCTTTCTTTCTTTCTTTTTTTTTTTTTTGAGATGGAATCTTGCTCTGTCACCCAGGCTGGAGTGTAGTGGCATCATCTCAGCTCACTGCAACCTTAGCCTCTCGGGTTCAAGCGATTCTCGTGCCTCAGCCTCCTGAGTAGCTGGGATTACAGGCATGAGCCACCACACCTGGCTAATTTGTTTTTGTATTTTTAGTAGAGACTGGGTTTCACCATGTTGGCCAGGCTGGTCTCAAACTCCAATCCTGGACTCCTTTTCCTTCTTCTTTTGTGTGTGTGTGTGTGTGTGTGTGTGTGTGTGTGTGTGTGACAGAGTCTCACCTGTCACCCAGGCTGGAGTGCAGTAGCATGATCTCAGCTCACTGCAACCTCCACCTCCTAGGTTCAAGCAACTCTCCTGCCTCAGCCTCCCAAGTAACAAGGGATTATAGGCGTGTGCCATCATGTCTGGCTAATTTTTTGTATTTTTAGTAGAGATGGGGTTTCACCATGTTGACCAGGCTGGTCTCGAACTCTTGACCTCGTAATCCACCCACCTCGGACTCCCAAAGTGTTGGAATTACAGGATTGAGCCACCGGGCCCAGCCTCTTTTCCCTTCTTACTCCACACCTTCCTCGCCTTCCTGCTAGATTTCATCTGTTCCCGTGGCTTTAAAACCTGTTCCTTTGCTGGTGGGGTCACATTGTAAGTCTCACCTTTCTGAGATCCAACTGCTGGGACGTTTCACAAGCAACTCAAACTTGCCGTCTTCAAAATGGAACTACTGATTTCTCTCTATAAACCTGTTTCCTCCCACCCTCACCTCCTGTTCCCCCTGCCTTGTGGATGGCACCTCCATCCTCTCAGCTGTCCCAGGCCGTGGGAGGAATCCTCCTTGCTCTGCCCTTTTCTGTACACAGACTGCCCATCCAGTAGCAAGTCCTCTCAGCCCTCCCTCCAGAATGCATCTGGAACTGGCTCATCCTCTCCACCCCATTGCTACCCACAGCCCCTCTCTTCTCTTGCCTTCTGTGAGTCATCACAGTTATCTATAAAAGGAAATTGGACAGTGCCACTCCTGACACTGTTGACACTTGTCAGTCAACAGACACTTTCTGAAAATCCAGTTACAGGCACTAGGAAAACAGCAGTAAACGCCTTCAAGAAGTTTGTATTCCAGTGTGGAAGAGAGGGGAAAAGCATGGAGCCATACGCAGGGGGGATTCTGGTCCAGAGCAAGACTACGAAGAAGACAACATAGCCAGGCACGGTGGGTCATACCTGTAACTCCAGTGCTTTGGGAGACAGAGGTGGGAGGATCATTTGAGCTCAGGAGTTCGAAACCAGCCTGCAACATAGCCAGACCACATCTCTACTAAAAATAAAAAAATTTTTTTTAAAAAGTAAAAAAAAAAAGGCTGGGTGTGGTGGCTCACACCTGTAATCCAAGCACTTTGGAGGCCAAGGTGGGCGGATCACCAGATCACCTGAGGTCAGGAGTTCAAGACCAACCTGACCAAAATGGTGAAGGCCCATCTTAAAAAAAAAAAAAAAAAGTAACCAGGGGCTGGGTACGGAGGCTCATACCCGTAATCCCAGCACTTTGGGAGGTTGAGATGGATCAACCTGTAGTCCTAGCTACTCAAATGCTGTTGTGAGAAGATCACTTGAGCCCAGTATTGCGCCACTGCACTCCAGCCTGGGTGACAGGGTGAGACCCTGTCTCAAAAAAAGAAGACAGGCCACACGGTGGCTCTTGCCTGTAATCCTAGCACTTTGGGAGGCAGAGGTAGGTGGATCACCTGAGGTTAGGAGCTCAAGACCAGCCTGGCCATCATGGTGAAACCCCATCTTTAAAAAAAAAAAAAAAGAAGAAGAAGACAACAGAGAGAAACAAGAACTCAATGGTGACAGGTGGCAGAGGCCTCGAGGACCTGCTCACTCGTCACCTATTCCAACCTCTGACTAGCCTGTAAAGGTGAGAAAACTAAAATCACACTTCCCACACTCCTCTTGGTTAGGGATCTGGGCACAATTTGCATCTCACTGATCAGATACAGCACCCTGAGACCTTGATGTGGAGCTACATAAAGTGGGGAAAGGAAGGCAGGGCACAAGCACCCTCTGTCCTGCCAGCCCTAACCCTGACAGAGGCCATGTAGTGCCAGAGCTCGTGGCTGCAGTGGCTGCTTCCTCTTGCAGCAGAAGCAGCAGCAGCCAAGGGGTCCCATTCGTCAGTGTGGCCTGGGAAGTCCTCTCTGGAACTCCAGCTGCTCCTGAGGCTGGAAAAATCACATCCTCTACACACCCTTCCTTCGCCTCCCTCCTTGCGCTCATGTCCGACCTTGATTCTGGACAGGGGCTCCATCAAAGGCTGAGACCAGCCACAGCTGAGGGAATGAGGACAGGACGTCAAGTGCAAACAGGCGCTGGGAGGACTCACCTCATAGACGGGAGCATCGGGTCCTTCAAACTGGAGACCTGGAGGACACAGGGAAAAGGACAGAAAACAGCACGTGAGAGGACACCGCAGCTCCCCACTGCTCTTGCCAACCTCGTGGACCCCTGCACACCCTTGAGAGTTCCTTCGGGTGTCACCTCCCACCCAGAGTGTTTGCTGGCGCGTGCACCTCTCCCCAGGGCTCTGTTAGGCGGTGTTCCATGGTCTTTCTCAAACCCCAGCAGTTCTAAAACCTCTAATGCCTGTCCTCAGCTTTGGAGGCTGTGAATTAATTCAGTTCCTTCTGGGAATCTGTTACTGAAGGGAAGGAAGCATGGATAAGTAATGAATCGTCTTGTATAAGGCACCTGGAGTAGCCAAATCCATAGAGACAGAAAGTAGAATGGTGTTTGCCAGGGGCTGGGGAGAGGGACAGTGGGGAGTTAAGTTAGATGGGTACAGAGTCCCAATGGGGATGATGGGACAGTTCTGGTGGTGACTGATGGTTGCATGACAATATGAATATCCTTAATGTCACTGAACAATACACTTTTGAATGGTTAAAAGTGTAAATTTTATGTTTATATATAATATATAATAATATAGTATGTAATAATTAGTTTACATATATATATATATTTTTTTTTTTTTTTTTTGAGACAGAGTCCTGCTCTGCCGCCAGGCTGGAGTACAGTGGCATGATCTTGGCTCACTGCAACCCCTGCCTCCTGGGTTCAAGTGATTCTTCTGCCTCAGCCTCCTGAGTAGTTGGGACTACAGGTGAGCACCACCATGCCCGGCTAATTTTTGTATGTTAGTAGAGATGGGGTTTCACCATGTTGGCCAGGCGGGTCTCGATCTCCTGACCTTGTGATGACCTCGTGATCTGCCTGCCTTGGCCTCCCAAACTGCTGGGATTAAAGGCGCGAGTCGAAGCACCTGGCTTTTTTTTTTTTTTTTTTAATGGAGTCTCACTGTGTCGCCCAGGCTGGAATGCGATTGTGCCATCTCAACTCACTGCAACCTTCACCTCCCAGGTTCAAGTGATTCTCCCACCTCAGCCTCCCAAGTAGCTGGAACTACAGGTGTGAGGCACCACACTTGGCTAATTTTTGTGTTTTTAGTAGAGACGGGGTTTCACCATGTTGGCCAGGCTCAAACTCCTGACTTAGGTGATCTACTCCCCTCAGCCTCCCAAAGTGCTGGGATTACAGGCATGAGCTATTGCACTTGGCCATTTTTTTTTTTTTTTTTGGAGACAGAGTCTCACTCTGTCACCCAGGCTGGAGTGCAGTGGTGCAATCTCAGCTCACAGTTAACTCCGCCTCCCAGGTTCAAGCAATTCTCCTCTCTCAGCCTCCCCAGTACTGAGACCACAGGCACGCACCACCACACCTGGCTAAATTCTGTATTTTTACAGAATTTAGTATTTTTACAGGGCTGGTCTCAAACTCCTGACCTCAAGTGATCCACCCACCTTGTCCTCCCAAAGTGCTGGGATTATAGGCATGAGCCACTGCACCCAGCCCATTATGTAAATTTTATCACAATAAGAAATGAATCATCCAAAATGAAAAACAGCTTTTAAAATGGCTATTCAAGAACACTAGTGATTCACCCCAAATGTACTTACTTTAGAATCTATCTCTGTTCTTACAGTAGAACTAATTCAAATTCAAATTCAAATGCATCCTCTCGAAGCGGCCTACCATCTGCTGATATCCCGCATCCTCCTCTGTCTGGGGCACTCACTCTCATCGCACCTGTTTGAGGTGTGGTTTGTGAAATTCAGTTCTCTGCCATGCTCATCAGTGCTGGACCTGGAGAGAGCTCGGCTGGGTCCGTGAGATATGTCAGATCCCCAGTTGCCACCACACCTAGACCTTACTTGGAGGTCTTTTCTGGGGCTTGTAGGTTTCGGGGGGCTGTTTGCCTCAAGATGCCAAGAGTCCCCAAGCAGAAAAAGAATTCACTGGACAGACCCACAGAATCCAACATCTCTGCACTGGGAGGGGACATCTGTGCCTGCAGGCTCCTCCTTCTGGTCACTCTGACAATATTCCACTTTGCTGCTGAACTAGAGGGGATGTGTAAAAATCCATCGTGAAGGGCAGTTTTAACCAACAGAAATATTCTTTTCAAAATGCACTTCCAGCCAGGCTTGGTGGCTCGTGCCTGTAATCCTAGCACTTTGGGAGGCCAAGGCAGGTAGATTATCTGAGGGTAGGAGTTCGAGACCAGCTTGGCTAATGTGGTGAAACCCCATCTCTACTTAAAATACAAAAATTAGCCAGGGGTGGTGCTGGGCACTTGTAATCCCAGCTACTTGGGAGGCTGAGGCAGGAGAATGGCTTGGACCCAGGAGGAGGAGTTTGCAGTGAGCTGAGATCATGCCACTGCACTCCAGCCTGGGTAACAGATCAAGTCTCTGTCTCAAAAAAAAAGCTCATGTTTTGCCTGCTCCCATGATGTTGGAGGACATTGAAAAGCCAGTTATGTTCTAAGATTCTTTAAGGCGCACAGATTTCTGTCCTGTCCTGTGTTATCTTGGAGCCGCAGGAGGTCCCGGCTACTAAAGGAGATTTCCAGTTGTGGATACAGTAAGACTAAGGTGTAATGAAATCGCATCAAGCCAGGCCTGGAGGCTCACATCTGTAATCCCAGCACTTTGGGAGACCGAGGTGGGCAGATCACTTGAAGTCACGATTTTGAGACCAGCCTGGCCGACATGGTGAAACACAAATTAGCCAGGTGTGGTGGCAGACACCTGTAATCACGGCTACTTGGGAGGCTGAGGCAGGAGGATCATTTGAACCCGGGAGGTAGAGTTGCAGTGACCGGAGATCTCACCACTGCACTCTAGCCTGAGAGATTGAGCAAGACTCCATCTCAAAAAAAAAAAGGAATCACATCAATTTCCTGGCTTGTGCTGAGTACACAGCAGGTACCAATGAATGCCTGCTCCATATTTTTATTTTTCTTTCTTTCTTTTTTTGAGATAGGGTCTCACTTTGTCGCTCAGGCTGAAGTACAGCAGCACAATCTCTGCTCACTACAGCCACGACCCCCCACAAGTTCAAGCAACCCTTCTGCCTCAACTCCCTAAGTAGCTGGGACTACAGGTGCCCACCATCACACCCAGCTAATTTTTCTATTTTTTGTAGATACAGGGTTTTCCTATATTGCCCAGGCTGGTCTCGAACTCCTGAGCTCAAGTAATCCACCCGCCTCAGCCTCCCAAAATGCTGGGATTACAGGCTGGAATGAGCCACAGCACTTGTCCCCCTCCCCTGCTTTTTTTAGGAGACAGCAGGGTTTCCTTATGTCACCCAGGCTGGAGTGTACTGGCAAGATGATAGGCCACTGCAGCCTTGAACTCCTGCCTTGGTCTCCCAAAGTGCTGGGATTACAGGCATAAACCACTGCACCCAACCTCTCCCTCCTTTTGCCTAAGAAGAGTGAGAACGCTTTCTAGGGCTCTCAGGATGTGGATGTACTTACCCGGGATGGGAACTGTGTGCAGGGGCATTACCTCCACTCCGTGGACTGGGTACCCAAAGGGGAGGTTGGGCTGGGCCAGCAGGGGCAGTGGGCGGGGCAGCCCTTCTCTGCAGGAGAACAGAAACATCAGCAGCTGGCCCCGACGCCGGTCCCTGGTTGGTTCTCAACAGTGGTGCCGGTGCACAGGGCCTTGCCCTGACAATGTGGAGAAATCAAAAGTGGCTTGTCCCTGTCTCCTTCCATTCTCCCCCACAGTCCTTATTTTCTCCCCTCTCCTGACCTCCCTCCACAAAGGTAATGAGGTGGTTTATAACAAAGCATTTTTGTTTTTGAGACAGGGTTTCACTTTTTCCCCCAGGCTGGAGTACAGTGGCACAGTCATGGCTCGCAGCAGTCTTGACCTCCCTCACTCAAGCAGTCCTCCCATCTCAGCCTTCCCATAGCTGGGACTACAGGTACATGCCACGAAGTCCAGCTAATTTCTACAGTTTTTTGTAGAGATAGGGTCTTACTATGTCACCCAGGCTGGTCTCCAACCCCTGGGCTCAAGCAATCTTCCTGTCTCAGCCTTCAGAGAAGCCAGGACTATAGGAGAGAGCCACCATGCCTGGCTAACAAAGCCCATTTTTGAAAAAACCATGACCAGCATAAAAGGAAAAATAAAATTATCAGACTGTAAGGGCCCATCCAGCTGCAGCAGCTAAACACCAACGTCACATCTGAACTTCGCGGAAACCAGGATAACGATATTGACGACCCTTACGTGGCCCTTACTACCCAAAGAAGTAGACCAATTCCTGAAGGGAAGTGGAACTTCTCCTACCACCGAAATAAAAAAGAAACTAAGTCACAACAAAGTTTACAGGTGAGTATTGTTGTCACAATATTTTTAGAGCAAACAGAGGAACTGTTTTAATGGGTTTTTTGTTGTTATTGATAACAATCTTTAGTCAAAAGCAAGCACATAGCACAATCCAGCAAGGTTTGTTTTTGAGGGACTAAGGTACAGTGGTTGAAATGTTAGCCTTCAGAACCCAGTTCACCAAGAGACCATTTAATTACCAGGAAGAAAAGATCAGACCATCATAGTGAATACGTAGGGGAATATGAAAACAACAAAAGTTTTAAATGGTAAAGAACATAAAAAGGCAATTAGCAGAAGAGGAAATACAAATAGCAATGAACAGATGAAACGTGCTGAGCTTCAATCAGGGAAATGTGAATTTAAAAAACCATGGAATACTTTTTCATTAAAGTTTGAAAATCTGATGATAGCAAGTGTTAGGTGTATGTAAGGTGTGACTCTTACCCACTCTTCGTGACAGTGAGTTCACACAAGCCCTCTTGAAGGAAATTTGTCAGTATCTATCAAAAATAAAAAAGACATACTCTGGGATCTAGCTAGTAAGACACTAGGTGAAAGGAGAAATGCTTGCAATCTCACTCTGTCACCCAGGCTGGAGTGCAGTGGCATGATCTCGGCATACTGCAACCTCCACTTCCCAGTTCAAGTGATTCTCTTGCCTCAGTCTCCTGAGTAGCTGGGATTATAGGCACGTGCCACCATGCCTGGCTAATTTTTGTATTTTTTGTAGAGATGGGGTTTTGCCATACTGTCCAGGCTGATCTGGAATTCCTGGCCTCAAGTGATCTGCCTGCCTCGGCCTCCCAAAGTGTTGGGATTACAGGCGTGAGCCACCACACCCGGCCCTTATACATGTCTTAATAAAAAAGGAAAGAATGTAAATATAATGTAATATTATTGTAAATAATGTAAATGTAAAAAGGAAGGTTTTCCAACAATCTAAATACCTTTCAATAGGGAAATGGCTTAGTAAAATACAGTATATTCATATTCATAGTTATATTGCAATTAAGAGGGATTAACTAGATATATACATAGCTCTTTTTTTTTTTGAGGCAGAGTCTCGCTCTGTCACCCAGGCTGGAGTTGCAGTGGCATGATCTTGGCTTACTGCAACCTCCACCTCCTGGTTTCAAGTGATTCTCCTGCCTCAGACTCTTGAGCAGCTGGGACTAGAGGTGTGTACCACCACATCCAGCTAATTTTTTTGTATTTTTAGTAGAAACGGGGTTTCACCATGTTAGCCAGGATGGTCTCGATCCCTGACCTTGTGATCCGCCCACATCAGTCTCCCAATACATAGCTCTTAAAACCATATCATATTCCTTTCCAGTTCCAGCCCCAGACCCTGCAGCCACTGAGCTGTTGATACTTAAGAAGAACAGGATTTAAAACTCCTTTTTAAGGAGGGAGTCACGGTGGTCAAGAAGGATGTCCTCATGCCTAAGCACCCAGAGCTGGCAGATGAGAAGGTGCCCAACCTTTGTGTCATAAAGGCCGTGCAGTCTCTCAAGTCCCAAGGCTATGTGAAGGGACACCCTGCCTGGAGACATTTCTATGGGTACCTTACCAAGGAGGGTATCCAGAATCTCCATGATGACACCCATCTGCCCCCTAAGATTGTGCCTGCCACTCTATGCCACAGCTATCCAGAGACGGGTAGGTCTCTGCCTAAAGGTCTGGTGGGTGAGCCACCTGCAAGACCCACAAGAGGGGAAGCCGACAGCCTGCTGCCAACAAGAAAGCAGTGGCTAGGGCTGCGTCAGCAACTGAATTCCAGTGTAGAGGCAGATTTGGTCATGGATGTGGTCAGCCATCTCAGTAAAATTGGAGAGGATTTTTGTTTTGTTTTTAGATTTTTTGAGACAGGGTCTCACTCTGTCGCCCAGGCTGGAGTGCGGTGGCACAATCTCAGCTTATTGCCACCTCCGCCTCCTGGGTTAAAGCGATTCTCCTGCCTCAGCCTCCTAATTTTTGTATTTTTGGTAGAGACAGGGTTTCACCACATTGACCAGGCTGGTCTCGAATTTCTGACCTCAGGTGACCTGACTGCCTCAGCCGCCCAAAGTGCTGGGATTACAAGCGTGAGCCACCGCCCCCCACCAGAGGAGGCTCTGTCAGGTGGCTATTTTGCATTCAATAAACTTATAGTCAGAAAGAAGAAAAAATATATATATGTAATTGAATGAAAAATTTCAGAGCCTGTCCTTCCCTAACACTCTGCCTGCTGCCTGCCAGGACAGTTCCCCATTTGTCAGTCTCCTGGTCTCTCTTTGCCACTCACCATTCTGTGAGATCTCTGGAGCTGGAGACTCAAAGTGCCTCCCACTGTGGCTAACATCAAGTAAGCCTCAATAAGAGTCTGCAGGATAAGCCAGTGGTGTGAGGGGAAGCACAGGGAACATGGTTATGCAGGAGGCTGATCGCTGCCCTGGGCAGTGCCTGGACTTCTGGGAGAAAGAAGCCCCAGGTGTGCAAATTGCAAGAGGCACATGGTGGGGGAAGGGAGAATAGGGAAAGGGGTTTGAAGAGATGGAGAGAGTGAGATCAGGGAGGGCAGGGGAGGGATAAGTGGACATAAGGCAGATGCCTGTTGGGAGGGATACTGACCTGGAAGGAGCCTGGCAGAAGGAATTATAAGAAGGAACTGGTTCCAAACAGGGAAGGCTAAGGAGTTGGAGGAGTTCCTGGCCACATCCTCACCTGGCCCTCTTTCACCTGTGCAAATTCCCAGCCCTTTGGAGATTATACCAGGCAGTACAGATAGAAGAAAAGCAAACAGCCTGATGATAATGACTAATGTAAACTGGATCTCATGCCAGAGAGGATGTAGCTGGGGAGGAACACAGATGTTCTCAAATCTTTCTTATTTAGCTGATGAAATCCATTGAATCCCTGCTTTGAGCAAGTCACTGAGCTAGGTACAAAGATGAATCTAATATAGATCCTGCCCTCGACGAGCTTACAGTATAATAGAGGGTACAATTGGTGTGTCCTGGGGGTGGTGGTATGGCTCACACCTGTAATCCCAGCTACTTGGGAGGCTGAGGTGGCAGGATCACTTGAACTTGGGAGGTGGAGGTTGCTGATAGTGAGCCAAGATTGTGTCACTGCACTCCAGCCTGGCAACAGAGCAAGACTCTGTCTCAAAAAAAACAAAAGCCGGGGGCGATGGCTCACACCTGTAATTTCAGCACTTTGGGATGCTGAGGTGGGCGAATCATAAGGTCAGAAGATTGAGACCATTCTGGCCAGCATGGTGAAACCCCATCTCTACTGAAAATACAAAAAATTAGCCAGACATGGTGGCACGCACCTGTAATCCCAGCTACTCAAGAGGCTGAAGCAGGAGAATTGCTTGAACCCGGCAGACAGAGGTTGTAGTGAGCTGAGATCAGGCCACTACACTCCAGCCTGGGCAACAGAGAAAAACTCGGTCTCAAAAAAAAAAAAAAACCACACAGTACCAAACAACAATGAAAAACAGTGTTCTCTCTGAGTCAGATGTCCATTCTGTGGCCCATAGAATGTATTCACAAGTTGTGTGGAAACTCAAGATTTCAATTCAAAGCTCAATGGTATTGAGCTACATTGGTACTGTGAATACCGAATAGTATTAAATACTATTAAGTTGTGAGAGATGTGGTAGGCCTTAGCGGGGAGAGCAGCTTCCGTTCTGAGAATTGAGAAAGGAATATTCAGAAGATGACATTCAAAGTCCAGCCTCATCTCTGGTACTGAACAGGTGGCATCTACATTGATGAGGAAAGAGCTCTACGATTAAAGTCAAGAAAGCAAGATGTAGAAAGTTTGTACAGTACACAATAATGTCTGTTTTCTAAAGTGGAGTATATGTTCACATGTGTACATTTATTTGTATATGTGATGGGAGTGGCATGAATAGTGGTGGTAAATGTTTAACAATGGGCTTTTGAGGCGGTGGGGGTTGGCAGGCCCTGGTATGTAGTGTCTGCCGATTTCTATGGTGTAAATACTCACACTATGGCTGATATCAAGCTACCAATGTGATGTCACTGAATGTGGAGTTGGAAGAGAGAAACACACTAGGTCACCGTTTCTCTCTCCCTCTCTCTCTTTTTTTTTTTTTTGAGATTGAGTCTTGCTCTGTCACCCAGGCTGAAGTACAGTGGCGTGATCTCAGCTCACTGCAACCTCCTCCTCCCAGGTTCAAGCAAGTCTCCTTTCTCAGCTTCCCAACTAGCTAGGACTACAGGTGCACACCATGATACCTGGCTAATTTTTATGTTTTTAGTAGAGACAAGGTTTCATCATATTGGTCAGGCTGGTCTTGAACTCCTGACCTCAGGTGATCCACCCACCTCAGCCTCCCAAAGTTCTGAGATTACAGATATGAGCCACTGCGCCTGGTCTATAATCTCCCTACCATGTAGATAAGCTAGTGATTTGGCTGGATGGTCAGGGACTTGGAAGAAGCATGATTAGAAAAACGGTGACAAAGAAATTTGGGGAAGAGGTATGTGGACGGACCTCGCTGAGTGGTCAAAACTGTGAAGATATTTGTATTCCATGTGAGTGCTCACCAGTGGGTGACCTCCTCAGAGGAGGAGTTTAATAATCGAGTGGATAGGATGACCCGTTCTCTGGACACCACTCAGCCTCTTTCTCCAGCCACCCCTATCATTGCCCAATGAGCTCATAAATAAAGTGGCCATGGTGGCAGGGACAGAGCTTATGCATAGGCTCAGGAACATGGACTTACACTCACCAAGGCTGACCTGGCTGTGGCCACTGCTGAGTGCCCAATTTACCAGCAGCAGAAACCAACACTGAGCCCCCGCTATGGCACCATTCCTCAGGGTGATCAGCCAGCTACCTGGTTTCAGGTTGATTATATTGGGCCTCTCCCATCTTGAAAAGGGCAGAGGTTTGTCCTAACTGGAATAGACACTTACTCCAGATACGGGTTTGCCTATCCTGCACCCAAGGCTTCTGCCAAGACTACCATCCGTGGTCTCATGGAATACCTTCTCCACCATCATGGTATTCTACACAGCATTACCTCTGACCAAGGCACTCACTTTAAGACTCAAGAAGTGTGGCAATGAAATCCTTGAATGTTCTCTTAAGAAAATGATGCTGGTCATCGCAGCTTCAGCATCTCCTGTTTTTTGATGCTTGGTTCCCTCTGCTGATCTCAAAGTTTCCTGGCTTTTCCTCCCTCAGCCCCTTCTCACCCCTTTGCTGTCCTGTGTAGTGATTTGGTGAGAGAAATCATTGCTGCCCCCTCCCCCCAGCACCATATATGAGTTTCAAGTTTTATTATTGCAATAAAAGTGTTTACGCCGGCTTTTCTCAACAACAGCAACAAAAAAGAAGTGTGGCAATGGGCTCATGCTCATGGAATTCACTGGTCTTACCATGTTCCCCATCGTCCTGAAGCAGCTAGATTGGTAGAACGGTGGAATGGCCTTTTGAAGTCACAATTATAATGCCACGAGATGACAAAACTTTGCAGGGCCGGGGCAGAGTTCTCCAGAAGGCCATGTGTATGCTCTGAATCAGCATCCAATATATGGTACTGCTTTTCCCACAGCCAGGATTCATGAGTCCAGGAATCAAAGGGTGGAAGTGGCACCACTCACTGTCACCCCCTAGTGATCCACTAGCAAAATTTTTGCTTCCTGTTCTCAAGACATTACATTCTGCTGGCCTACCTTGGTTCCAGTGGAGGAATGCTACCACCAGGATACACAACAATGATTCCATTAAACTAGAAGTTAAGATTGCCACCTGGATACTTCCGGCTCCTCCTACCTTTAAGTCAACAGGCTAAGAAGGAAGTTGCAGTGTTGGCTGGGGTGATGACCTTTACTATCAAGATGAAATCAGTCTACTCCTCCACAATGGAAGTAAGGAAGAATACACGTGGAATACAGGAGATCCATTATGGTGTCTCTTAGTATTACCATGCCCTGTGATTAAGTTCAATGGGAAACTACAATAGCTCAATCCAGGGCTATTGTGTGTACAAATGACTCAGATCCTTCAGAAATGAAGGTTTGCGTCACTCCACCAGGTAAAAAACCATGACCTGCTGAGGTGCTTGCAAGTGATCTGCCCGCCTCAGCCTTCCAAAGTGCTGGGATTACAGGCATAAGCCAAGCAGCTGAATGGAGCTAGGTATTATATTATTATAAAATGGAGCCTCCCCATTTCACAAAGATTAAGCAGCTTGCTCAAGATCACCTCAATGGCGGTCGAGGATGCGGGACCTGAATGCAGCCAGTCAGCTTGCACAGCAGCACTGTTAACTGCTGAAACCAGTTGCTCCTCATACAGCTAGGTGCACCAGGGTTGAAATCCATGCCAGCATCACCTACATATTCCACTGGCTGTCCAGCTTTCAGCATCCCCTGACGAAGATGGTGTCTCCACCTGTCTTCTGGGGAGCCTTCCACTTGCATGTAATTTGGAGGGTAGTGGCTGCTATGGTTTGAGTGTGTTCCCTAAATTTCATGTGTTAGAAACTTAATCCCCAAATTCAAACGTTGTTTAAAGGTAGGGGCCATTGGGAGGTCATTAGCATAAGGTCATCAGGTGGAGACCCCACAATGGGACTGCTGGTTTTTGTTGTTGTCGTTTTGAGATGGAGTCTCACTCTGTCACCTAGACTGGAGTGAGTACAGTGGTCAAATCTCAGCTCACTGCAACCTCCACCTCCCGGGTTCATGTGAGTCTACTGCCTCAGTCTCCCAAATAGCTGGAACTACAGGCACCCACCACCATGCCCCAGCTAATTTTTATATTTTTAGTAGAGATGGGGTTTCGCCATGTTGCCCAGGCTGGTCTCGAACTCCTGACCTTAGGTAATCCACCCACCTTGGCATCTCAAAGTGTTGGAATTACAGGCGTGAGCCACCGTGCCTAGCCAAGGGACTGGTGGTTTTATAAGAAGAGAGACCTCAGCTGATGCACACGCTCTTGCCCTCTCACTATGTGATACCTTCCACTATGTTATGATGTAGCAGGAAGCCTTCACCAGACACCAGCACCATGCTGTTAGACTTCTCAGCCTCCAGAATCATAAGCTAAATACACTTAGCTTTTCTTTATACATTACCCAGTCTGTGATATTCTGCTATAGCAACAGAAAATGGACTAAGACAGTGGCTAGCTTCAAAAATCAAACCTGGAGGGGTCTGATGCACCCTTTCCCTTCCTTTTGATTCATGAGTTAGGCTCAGTCAATTGAGCACTAAGGTAGTGACCTGGGGACAGTTCATTGTAGAAGCAATGACAATATGGGGACCAGATGGCCCTGGAGCCTGGCCAGTTCTTCAGTGCTCCTTTAGTTCTTACTTGATTTCCCAGCCTGGTCATCCTACCACCAATGGATTTGGTAAGGCCTTAGCATCCTTCCAACAAATTCCTTTTAGATATAAGCCAGCAGAATCAAGTTCTGCTCCTTTCTTCTTCTTCTTTTTTTTTTGGGTGGGGGGAGGAAAGGAGGAAGGCAGGAAGGGAGGAAAGGAGGAAGGGAGGGAGGGAGGAAGGAAGGGAGGGAGGGAGAGAAGGGAAGGAAGGAAATCAGGCAGTAAGAGAGACATTGCCGACCTGGATCTAGAGGTCTACAAGTTGATTTCTTTTTTTTTTTTTTTTTTGAGAGAAGGAAAGAAAAATAAAAGGAGTGATGGAGAGGAAGAAAGAGGAAGAAAAAGAGGGAGAGAGAATGGAAATGTTGCTTTATTCTAAAAAAATGGGTATTTTTTTTTTTTTAGGTGAAGTCTCCCTCTGTTGCCCAGGCTGGAGTGCAGTGGCACAATTTCGGCTCACTGCAACCTCCACCTCCCAGGTTCAAGTGTTTCTCCTGCCTCAGCCTCCCAAGTAGCTGGGATTACAGGCATGTGCCACCACACCTGGCTAATTTGTGTATATTTAGTAGAGATGGGGTTTCACCTTGTTGGCCAGGCTGGTCTCAAACTCTTGACCTCAAGTGATCCACCCACCTCAGTCTCCCAAAGTACTGGGATTATAGGGGTGAGCCACCACATCCAGCCAAGTTCTGCCCTTTTTCAATCAACAATCCTGGTTGATACACCTAAGTGTTGACACCGCTTGTAATTTAAAACAAAGTGATACACTCCTTGAACGTAACACAGGGATGGTATGTTCTCAACATAAACCTGAATAAAACAGGGCAACTTGATGATGACTACACAATCACCTGCTATGATAGCCTCCAGCATGGAGCCCAGGAAATTGAAGCTGCAAGAGCCGTGATCACACCACTTTCAAACCATCTCGATTCATTTTTGTTTTGTTTTGTTTGTGTTTGTGTTAGAGACAGAGTTTCAATCTGTTGCCCAGGCTGGAATGCAGTGGTGTGATCACGGCTCATTGCAGCTTCAATTTCCTGGGCTCAAGTGATCCCCTCACTTCAGGCTTCTGAATAGCTAGGACTACAGGCATGCACCATCATGCCCTGCTAATTTAAAAAATTGTTTGTAGAGATGGGGTCTCACTATATTGCCCAGGCTGGTCTCAAACTCCTGGGCTCTAGCAATCCTCCCTTCTTGACCTCCCAAAGTGCTAGAATTACAGACATGTGTCACCAACCCCAGCTTTTTCTTTTTTTTGATATGAAATGTTTTATACATACAACGGTTTGTAAATCTTCATTAAGGATGATTTCCTTAATTCCTTCTTTTTTTTTTTTTTTTCTGAGACAGAGTCTCACTCTGTTGCCAGGCTGGAGTGCAGTGGTGCGATCCCGGCTCACTGCAACTTCCATTTTCCGGTTTCAAGCAATTCTCTGCCTCAGCCTCCCGAGTAGCTGGGACTACAGGCGTGCGTCACCACGCCGGGCTAGTTTTTTGAACTTTTAGTAGAGATGGGTTTCACCATGTTGGCCAGGATGGTCTCGATCTCTTGACCTCGTGATCTGCCCACCTTGGCCTCCCAAAGTGCTGGGATTACAGACGTGAGCCACCGCGCCTGGCCTAATTCCTTCTTTTTGTTTTATTCCTAATAGTTCCTCCCCAGGGACCCTTGCAAGAGTGAGAATTCCTTCCTGCCTTTTCTCTTAAGACACACCCTCAGGACGTAGAGAGAGCTTTTGCTCCATCTCAGAACGCAAGAGCCTTCTTGGCCTGCATTACCTCCTCTGAAAGTGTTCAAATTCAGCCTGTCTCCTCGCGTTCACCGCTGGGAGGTCGCTCTGTCCATAGGCATCCTGAAAGTTGTAACTCCCCTGTTCTTTATTGGCTTCACATATGCACTGATTTTTCGGGAACAGCCTGAAACAAGCAAGAGGGCTGTAAACATGGATTGGGTGGGTAGGCTGGTGGGTGAGAGGGAACCTGAGTTCTCATCCAATGTGCAGTTTACCCTGAAAATCTTTCCTACACCCAAGTAGGATTCTGAAATGAGACCCTGGAATCCCCTGCAGGGGCCCCTCCCAGAGACAAAGGGAGGGACGGAAGCAGGGACAGAGGAAGGCTGAAGACTCCTCCTCTCTTGCATTATCCCCTGCACCTAACTTCTTTAAATCTGAGATCAAGTGACTGTCTGTTGTATCTCACCCCACCATAAAAGGAGGGCAGAGGGACAGCGAAGCAGCATTTTTGCTGCAGTTTTGGTAAAAAAAACTACAGGTTTTCCAGAGTTTTAAGGGATTTTGCTGGCTGCTATAGAGAACATAGACGGTGCTCTGTAGACCAATCCTTTTCCTGGCTTGCAAGGTTTAGGAAAGCAAGGGTTCCATCTGTAAAATGGGCACAGTACCCCAGAGGAGGACAAGGAAGATGTTTTCACTAAGGTGAAAGAGAGAACACTAGTCTCTCACCAGATTCCATCGTAGGTAAAGAGGTTCCTGAGATGTTCCTCTGGCAGAAGCTTCAGCTTCTGGACACCCTGAGCAGGACTTGCGAGCTCTGGCTTGAGGCTGCTAAACACGGCTTGAAGGGACACGCCTCTGAGCATAAATCCAGCAACACTAAGTCCCAAGATTATGACCGATATCTTGAGGAGCCGCAGAAATCTCAAGCTGTTGGGACACAAAAGAACCAATTACGTTGAAATCTTTTTTCTTGATTATATGATGTTATGTTGTTAACTTGAAGCAGAGTTCTGCTTTCATTATGTTTTCTGACTTGTTGGCTTATAGAAACCTGTATAGGGTAGTGGTTAAAAGTATGGTCTGGTTTTGAATTCTGCATCTGTCATTACCGACAGAGCAGGTTACTTCTCCTATCTAAGCTTCAGCTATCTTGTCTGTTTACTGGGTGGAGTAATCAAACTTCTCTTGGCCAGGTGTGGTGGTTCGCGCCTACAATCACAGCACTTTGGGAGTAAATACTTTTCCTTGATTATAGAATGTATATGAGACTGTGAACTTCAGGAAAAATGTAAGCTAAGCATATAGCTTATATTGGTCACTATAATTGATTTCTGATAAACAGGAAGAAATAATCAAGTGGAAACAACGGGATTCAGAAAAATTACAAATAAAAGGATAGGCAAAAACATCCAGGGGGAAAAAAGGCTAGTAATGTTAATGTCAGCATAGCTAAATTCAAAGCAATAAAAAAGAGTATTAAGGCCGGGCGCGGTGGCTCAAGCCTGTAATCCCAGCACTTTGGGAGGCCGAGACGGGTGGATCATGAGGTCAAGAGATCGAGACCATCCTGGTCAAAATGGTGAAACCCCGTCTCTACTAAAGATACAAAAAATTAGCTGGGCACGGTGGCGCATGCCTGTAATCCCAGCTACTCGGGAGGCTGAGGCAGGAGAATTGCCTGAACCCAGGAGGCGGAGGTTGCGGTGAGCTGAGATCATGCCATTGCACTCCAGCCTGGGTAACAAGAGTGAAACTCCGTCTCAAAAAAAAAAGAGTATTAAATAAGACAAAAACACCACTTATAGTGATCAAAGGCATGACACCAAAACAGATAGCTGTGAACTTTATCCACTAATAATAGCGTTAGCGAATACAAAGCAAAAAATGGCAAGCTATGAAGGAAGTATTAGAAACACAAGGATAGGGCCGGGCGCGGTGGCTCACACCTGCAATCCCAGCACTTTGGGGAGGCCGAGGCGGGTGGATCACGAGGTCAAGAGATGGAGACCATCCTGGTCAACATGCTGAAACCCTGTCTCTACTAAAAATACAAAAAAATTAGCTGGGCATGGTGGCGCGTGCCTGTAATCCCAGCTACTCAGGAGGCTGAGGCAGGAGAATTGCCTGAACCCAGGAGGCAAAGGTTGTGGTGAGCTGAGATCATGCCATTGCACTCCAGCCTGGGTAACAAGAGCGAAACTCCATCTCAAAAAAAAAAAAAAGAAAGAAAGAAATACAAAGATAGTCATGAATGCTAGCATGTCTAGCTTGATCAAGTCTCAAAAATATTTTAAAGCAGCAGAACAGCAAAATGATATAATTTGTATTCTGTTAAAGAGCTCTTAGAACATTTATAAAAATTGGTCACATATTAGGACACAAAGAAAACTGTAATAAAGTAGAAATAATTCAGACCATATATTCTGACAATGCAATTCAAATGTAAGCTGGCTGGGCATAGTGGCTCATGCCTATAATCTGAGAACTGTGGGAGACTAGGCAGGAGGCTCACTTGAAGCCGGGAGTTCAGGACCAGCCCAGGCAACAAAGCAAGAACCTGTCGCTACAAAAAATTGAAAAATAGCTAGGCACCTACAATCCTAGCTACTCAGGAGGCTGAGGCAGGAGGATCCCTTGAGCCCAGGAGTTCAAGGGTGTAGTGAGCTATGATCACACCACTGCTTTCCAGCCTGAGCGACTGAGACCCCATCTCTAAAAAAATAATAGGCTGGGCATGGCATGGTGGCTCACACCTGTAATCCCTTTGGGAGACCGAAGCAGGAGGATTGCTTGAGCTCAAGAGTTTGAGACTGGCAACATGGTGAATGTCTCTACTGAGAAAAAATAGCCGGGTGTGGTGGCACAGACCTGTGGTCCCAGCTACTTGGGAGGCTGAGGTGGGAGGATCACTTCAGCCTCCACCCTTCAGGTGGGTGGAGGTTATAGTGAGTCAAGCGCCACTGCACTCCAGCCTGAGTGTCAGAGGGAGACTCTGTCTCAAAAAAAAAAAAGAATGTCTACTGCTATGATCTAATATTGTCATGGAAGTGCTAATCAGTGCAGTAAGACTAGCTTATGGAATAAAAAGATATAAATAACAAAAAGGGAAATAAAATCCGTTATTGACAGATGAAATAATTACATATTCAGAAAACTAAAATGTATTAGATGAGAAACTATTAGTAAGATTTTAGTAGGGTATCTGGTGACAAAATAAATAATAAAAAATTAATAATGATACTTATCTAATGACCACTTAGTATGTTCTAGACCCTCTTCCAAGAGCTTTGCGTGCATTATCTCATTTAATCCTCACAAGAGCATAATAAGAGAAGTTTTATTTATTTTGTTATTTTTTGTTTTGTTTTGAGATGGTGTCTCACTGTCACCCAGGCTGGAGTGCAGTGGCGCGATCTCAGCTCACTGCGAACTCCGCCTCCTGGGTTCAAGTGATTCTCCTGCCTCAGCCTCCTGAGTAGCTGAGTAGGGATTACAGGCCCCCACTACCATGCCCAGCTATTTTCTGTATTTTTTGTGGAGATGGGGTTTCACCATGTTGACCAGGCTGGTCTTGAACTCCTAACATCCAGTAATTCACCCACCTAGGCCTTCCAAAGTTTTGGGATTATAGGCATGAGCCACCATGCCTGGCTAAGAGAAGTTTTATTACTCCCTCCAATTAACAGATAGCTGAAGCTTAAATAGGAGAAGTAACCTACTCTCTGGGTAATACACAAATTAGCTGGGTGTGGCAGCAGGTGCCTATAATCCCAGCTACTCCGGAGGCTGAGGCTTGAGAATCACTTGAACCCAGGAGGTGGCGATTGCATCAAGCTGAGATAGTGCCACTGCACTCCAGCCTGGGCAACAAGAGCAAAACTCCATCTCAAAAAATGAATGAATAAATAAAGCTCAAGATAGATTAAAGGTAAATCATAAAAAATTAAAATAAATAAATAAATAAACTCTACTGTGAGAACTTAAACATCTAGGTAAATAAAGGCATCTTTTAAAAAACCAAATTACTGAATATACATAAAATATAAAATATGAGCCATTAAAAAATTAAAACTTTATTGGATTGTATGCCTGAAATGACACACATCAAGTTCTTAGTTGTGGTGTGTACTATTCAATGAACACATTTCTATAGTCTTTGTTTTTTCCTTCTTTTTCTGTAATGATCACGAATTAATTTTATCACTGAACAAATAAAGAATTAGGCAAATTACCACTGCATTAGGGAAATATACATATTAATAGATTGAGATAACTTTTTTTATTTTTGGCTAGAATGACTCAATTTTGTAGAGATGTAACTTTACCCTATATTAATCTACAAATTCAGTATAATAACCACATGAATAAAAGCAAAACAGGATTTTCTTTTTTTAGAGCCAGGGTCTCACTATGTCGCCCTATCTGGTCCCAAACTACTTGAGTCCAGGAGTTTGGGACCAGATAGGGCGACACAGTGAGGATTACCCAAGTAATACTCAGCTTTCTGAGTAGCTGGGACCATAGGCACACAGCACAGAGGCTGGCAGAACAGATTTTTCATCTGTTAAAATGACTCTAAAATGCATTAGAAGTAACACATGAGAATCGCAAGGAAGACATCAAAATTAAGAAGGAGGACTATATTACTACTAAACAGCAAATTGTTATAAGGCTACAGTTATTAAAAGCATGGTACCAGGGCCGGGCACGGTGGCTCATGCTTGTAATCCCAGAACTTTGGGAGGCCGAGGTGGGTGGATCACGAGGTCAAGAGATCGAGACCATCCTGGTCAACATGGTGAAACTCCGTCTCTACTAAAAATACAAAAATTAGCTGGGCATAGTGGTGCGCACCTGTAGTCCCAGCTAATCAGGAGGCTGAGGCAGGAGAATTGCCTGAACCCAGGAGGCAGAGGTTGCCGCGAGCCGAGATCGCGCCATTGCACTCCAACCTGGGTAACAAGAGTGAAACTCCATCTCAAAAAAAAAAAAAAAACATGGTGCCAATACAGGAATAAGCAACTAAGTGCATGGCAAACCAAAGTCCAGAAATACTTTTTGTGTGTGTAATCTGAGTTTGCACCATCTTTGTCACATTCTATAACATTCTTTTTTAGTTGATTTGTTTTGTTTTTGAAACAGAGTCTCTCTCTGTCACCCAGGCTGGAGCACAGTGGTGCAGCCTCGGCTCACTGCAGCCTCTGCCTCCTGGGTTCAAGCAATTCTCCTGCCTCAGCCTCCTGAGTAGCTCGGACTATAGCGCCCACCACCACGCCTGGCCAATTTTTGTATTTTTAGTAGAGACAGGGTTTCACCTTGTTGACCAAGCTGGTCTCAAACTCCTGACCGCCTTGGCCTCCCCAAGTGCTGGGATTACAGGTGTGAGCCACCGTGCCTGGCCTCTGTAACATCTTAACTTTTGAATTTTCCAAAATGGTACCCAGAAAAATAAATACATTTAAACTATTCAAGTTACAGAAACCGTCTTAATCCATTCTGTGCTGCCATAACAAAATACCATAGGTATACAACAGAGTAATTTATACAGAAACATTTATTTGACTCACGGTCCTGGAACACCAGGAAGTCCAAGGGCATGATTACACAGTTTCAGCTAGATTGTAGAAACGCCTTCCAGTGTTCTATAACATTGTAGGATGAATATAATTATAATAATATATCATTTCAGGCTGGGCACTGTGGCTCATGCCTGTAATCCCAGCACTTTGGGAGGCCGAGGCAGGTGGATCATTTGACGTCAGGAGTTCGAGACCAGCTTGACCAACATAATGAGACCCTGTCTCTACTAAAAATACAAAAATACTTGCCAGGTGTGGTGGCATACTCAGTTACTCAGGAGGCTGAGGCAGGGGAATTGCTTGAACCAGGGAGGTGGAGGCTGCAGTGAGCCAAGATTGCACCACTGAACTCCAGCCTGAGCAACAGAGCGAGACTCTGTCTTAAAAAAAAAATTACAAAAAATAGCTGGGTGTGGTGGTGTGAGCCTGTAATCCTAGCTACTGGGGAGGCTGAGGTAGGAAAATCAGTTGAACCCAGGAAGCGGAGGTTGCAGTGAGCCGAGATCATGCCACTGCACTGGGTGACTGAGCATGACTCCATCTCAAAATAATAATAATAATAATATCATATAGTTTCAAATAGCTAGGAGGAGGATATTGAACGTTTGTTCCCAACACAAAGAAATGATAAACGTTTGAGAAGATATACATGCTAGTTATCCTGATCTGATCACTATGCTATGTGTTTATCACTATATGTATCAAATATCACTATGTACCTCATGAATATGTACAATTATTTGTCAGTTAAAAGGAAACTGCAGACCTTTTGTTCATGATTCCACAGGTCGAGGAAAAGTCAAATTTGCTGGGGACTTGCCAGCTTTACATTTATTGGCATCTGTGTCAGGCATCCCAGCTTCCTCCCGAGTCACCCATTAAGGAATGTGGAGCCAGGCGGTGGCTCACGCCTATAATCCCAGCACTTTGGGAGGATCACGAGGTCAAGAGATCGCGGCCATCCTGGTCAACAAAGTGAAACCCCGTCTCTACTAAAAATACAAAAATTAGCTGGGCATGGTGGTGCGCGCCTGTAATCCCAGCTACTCGGGAGGCTGAGGCAGGAGAATTGCCTGAACCCAGGAGGCGGAGGTTGCGGTGAGCCGAGATCGTTCCATTGCACTCCAGTCTGGGTAACAACAGTGACACTCTGTGGGGATCGCTCCCGTGTGAGGCCCCTAGGAAATGGGCCTCGCAATACGGAGAGCTTGAGCCCGGACACAGATCCCTGGTTGGGGGAGTCCAGCTGAGGGAAAGCAGGGACCGAGAGAGGGACTATGTTATTCTAAATAATTAACAGACATTACTTTATGGATATGAGGGCTTGGGAGGCAATGTATCCACTTTCGGCTTCTTATGGTTTATTGCTTGATTGTGTTCATTTTGGACACTTGTCACCTTCATTGTAAAATATTAACTTAAGTATTTACACTTGGTAACTTACTCATCGTAACTTACTGGGTGTAACTGTAACTTACTTACCTTGACCTATTGGGCATAACCTACTTACTGGAAGTAACCTACTTACTGGACTTAACTTACTTACTGGGCGTAACTTAGTGGGCGTAACTTGCTTACTGTAACTTAAGTAGGTTGATCTGGCGTAAACAACTTTGACTTCAGAAAAGTATATAATGGAACATATTGCAAAAATAAAATTGCTGCTTGGACATAGCCTAAGCCAGCCCTCCAGACTCCGCTTTCCTTTATTCTTTCACTTCCGCGCACTCTCTCCCTCAGGTTGAAGGAGACATCTATGTTGGCGGTCTCGGGGACTCCTGCAGGTAGGTAGTCCCCTGGCAGACTTGCCGGACCCCAACAAAACTCCGTCTCAAAAAAAAAAAAAGGAATGTGGAAGTGAGGGAAGTTGGGGAAGGGAAACACTGGAATGAACGCCTTAGCCAGGGATGTGGATGGATGTAAAGCTGCCTTCCTTTCCTCCATTCCACCAATCTTCTGTTCAATGTGTGCCTTTTTTTTTTTTTTTTTTTGGGGGGGGGCGGAGAGAGAGTCTAACTCTGTTGCCCAGACTAGAGTGCAACGGAGCAATCTCGGCTCACTGCAACCTCTGCCTTCTGCGTTCAAGCCATTTTCTTGCTTCAGCCTCCCAAGTAGCTGGGATTACAGGTGCCACCACACCCGGCTACCACACCTGGCTAATTTTTGTATTTTTAGTAGAGATGGGGTTTCACCCTGTTGGCCAGGCTGATCTTGAAGTCCTGAGCTCAAGTGATCAAACGCCTCGGCCTCCCAAAGTGCTGGGATTCGATGTGTGAGCCACCGCGCCGGGCCAAACGTGTTCTTTTTCTTTTTTCTTTTCTTTTCTTTTCTTTTTTTTTTTTGAGATGGAATTTCACTCTAATTACCCAGGCTGGAGTGCAATGGCGCGATCCCCGCTCACCGCAACCTCCGCCTCCTGGGTTCAGGCAATTCTCCTGCCTCAGCCTCCTGAGTAGCTGGGATTACAGGCACGCGCCACCATGCCCAGCTAATTTTTTGTATTTTTAGTAGAGACGGGGTTTCACCATGTTGACCAGGATGGTCGCGATCTCTTGACCTCGTGAGGCACCCGCTTTGGCCTCCCAAAGTGCTGGGATTACAGGCTTGAGCCACCGCGCCTGGCAGCAAACATGTTCTTTTTCATGCTTACAAGATATCATGTCACAAACATGTTTTTGCATTTTTGTAAGATGAATTATTTGTCAGTGTTTAACGATTGTTTTAGAGTTTTGAAAAATACAAACAAAATTAACTTTGGGGATAAAAGAACATAAAATGCATTTCTGATCCTTCTTCGTAGCTTATAAAAATTAATTTAGACTTTTAAATGTACTTTCCCCGGTTAATTATTGTATCACTCTGTACAGGCTCTTTAGCGTGCGGGGCCACACAACCGCCACTCACTCTGCCCTGAGGTGAATGCCTGGATCTGAAAACCGACTTTTCCCTGACTCCACGCGGACTGTGGAGGAAACCAAGCCGCCCAGCTCCCCGACTGTCCGGCGCTCGCGGTCCCCGCGCCGGTGCACCCATATACCCCTGACAGCCGCTCCTCCCGTGGGCAGCAAAGGGGCCTCAGGCCGAGTCAGCGTTTCTGAGTTCCGAGTACAGATCCCCGATCCCCGCACTCCCAAGCCGATTCCCACACTCGGGCGTCCCGGAGACAGACACATTCCCGGCCGCGGTAGGCCACCTCCACGTGCAATTTGCCCACGGAAAAGCCAGCGTTCCCGGTTCCTGGGGCCGCAGATTTCGTTCCGCACGTTCTGTCATCTCGCCTCTGCGGCCACCTATGCGGGGAACCGGTTGGACTGAGACTGCAATCGCCCACTCCCCGGGCTCTGGCGTCTGTGGCGCGGGCATCTACCTGCTCTGCAGACGCCAGATAGGACCCACCGCGCTCCTGGCTCCCTCCCGAAGTTTCACCTCTCTCCTGGCTCTACCCCGAGGACACTCACCCGCCCGAAGTCATCCCGAATCCCGCAGCTCTCGGACGGCCGCACCTCGCGGAGACTAGCAGCAAGGCCGGCGACTGCCCGGTCCTGGCACCGACCCAGGCAAATTGTCGGGCAGCAGGGCAGGTGCAGGAAGCTTGGGGCGGTCCCCGCCCTTGTCACCCGTCGCCCGCCCACGCCTTAGGTATTTCTGTGGCCCAGCCTGGCGCTGACGCATCCAAGCATCGTTGTCTTGGTTTGGGGACCACCGGACCCCGCGGCGCACAGCCCCGCCAGCGGCCTGCGCCCAGGAGAACGCCAGAAGGCGACAAGGATGACCACCGCCCCTGCGTGGGACACTCAGGTAAGCAGTGAGCTCCGCGCTAAGCGTTTCATCTACGCAGCGTCATCGATTCGTCACAATAGCCCTACCAGGTGAGGACAGTTATTAGCCCAACTTTTCAGACGAGCAAGCTGAGGCAAAGTGGGGTAACCCGCTGCAAAGTGCAGACGCAGGATTCGAACCAAGTCTGGATGACCGAAGCTCGACGGTCGAGCATTTTCTTTCCCTCGAACTCCGAGCTAAGCTGTATGACGCCACCGCTCGGCTCCTGACCCTCCGGACTCTACCGCGTGGGTGGTCCGAGCTGAGAGTCCCGGAACTTCTGGGTGGAAAGGGGTGGGCGAGACTGGGCAGGGAGGCTCACGTGACCCGAGATTGGTCGCGTCTCCCTCCACTCGCCCACCAGGAGCAGCGAGCGGCGTCCCCTGCGCTTCCCGCCCCGCGTCCCTGTCCTCTCCCTGGGCTGCCGGAGCCGGTCCTCGCCCCGCAGGGTCAACCGCGAGCTAGCCCAGCGCCAGCGCGGCAATCCGGCCGCCGCCGTTCTCTACTGACCGTCCCACCCCAGCGTCCCATCTCTACTCTGGACCTTTCTCCTCTGCCACCGGCGATCGGGCTTCTCTCCCCCATTTATAGGAAAACACAATCTCCGCGCCCACTCCTCGTCTATCACCGCGGCCACTACCTTTCCTTCCCCGCTACGCTGTGTCCACACGCCCTCCAACCTCGCCGACTAGACCCGCCCGCTGCTCACGCTGGGGGTCGCTAAATTCGGCTTTGGTCCCACCTCCACCCTCCACGTCACCCCACACTCCACCCGAACTATCCTGGCAAAAGACCCCAGGAACTGGAAAGCTGGGGAATCACTCTAACAGGCAGGGACCCGTGCGGCCACATAACTCCTGTGTGCCTGGAAGAAGAGTGTTGAACTTAAGATGAAATTAGATTTGCGGAACTTTTTTCATAAGTCAGGCTCAGTGCTTCCCATGGCTCATCTCAAGCATGACTATATTGTATTCTAATGACCCAGCTGTCACAAATACAAGAATTTATTTTTTGAAACTGTTACCCAGGCTGGAGTGCAATGGTGTAATCATAGCTCATAGCCTCCACTTCCAGTGATTCTCCCACCTCAGCCATCTGAGTAGCTAGGACTACAGGCACCCACCACCATACCTGGCTAATTAAATAATAATAATAATTTGTAGAGAGGAGGTCTCACTATGTTGCCCAGGCTGGTCTTGAACTCCTGAGCTCAAGCAATAGTCCTGCCTCAGCCTCCTAAAGTGCTAGGATTACAGGTGTGGGCCACCACGATGGGCGAGAATATTTAAATATGGTGTGCAAAATGCATGCAAAATGGGGCCAGGTGCAGTGTCTCATGTGTATAATCCCAGCACTTTGGGAGACTGAGGCAGGTGGATCACTTGAGGTCAGGAGTTCGAGACTAGCCTGGCCAACATGATGAAACCCTGTCTCTACTAAAGACACAAAAATTTAGTCAGGTATGGTGGCAGACACCTGTAATCCCAGCTACTCAGGAGGCTGAGGCATGAGAATCTTTGAACCTGAGCGGCAGAGGTTGCAGTGATCTGGGATTGCGACACTACACTCCAGCCTCATTGACAGAGAGTGACTAAGTCTCAAAAAAAAAAAAAAAAAAAAACATGCAAAATGGTTAGTGTTTTTGTTTGTTTGTTTGTTTGTTTGTTTTTGAGACGGAGTCTGGGAAAGTGCATCTGGGAAAAGAGTAGAAGGAAAGGCCAGTGTGATCTACAACTTTGGTGCAGATGAGTCCCAAATTCAGGTCTGAGCTCAGCAGCCAGCAGAAAAAGGGAGTCCCTCAGAAGGGAGTTATAATGTAGCAATTGCAGATAACTATTTTCCAGCTCCAGACTGGAAAAGAGATCCTCTTGACAAGACCAATCAGAAAAGTGTTGTACTGACCATGGGCATGTAGGGGAAAAAAAGACATCTGTATAACACCTCCTTGCTTATAAAGGGCTTCCACATGCATTCCTCTCCTTCATTCAGCTCTTGTAGTAACACTGTCAGGCACCTCTCAGATGAGAAGACTGAACCTGTAAGAGTATTCATGACTTGTTCAAGCTTTTGTGGCCAGCAATGGGGCTAGGATTTGCACCCAGGAGTTCTGTCTCTAAAGCCAGTGCTGGGCTCCCTCCAACCCCCTGTATCACCAGCTGTTCCTTTTTTTTTTTTAATGGAGTTTTGCTCTTGCTTCCCAGGCTGGAGTACAGTGGTTCAATATCTTGGCTCACCACAGCCTCCGCCTCCTGGGTTCAGGCAATTCTCCTGCCTCATTCTCCTCAGTAGCTGGGACTACAGGCATGTGCCACCACACCCAGCTAATTTTGTATTTTGCTTTTTTTTTTTTAACTCAGAACCATCGTTATATAAAGGTGTTTTTGTATTTTTAGTAGAGATGGGGTTTCTCCATGTTTGTCAGGCTGGTCTTGAACTCCTGACCTCAGGTGATCCACCCACCTTGGCCTCTCAAAGTGCTGGGATTACAGGCGTGAGCCACTGTGCCCGGCTTCACCAGCTGTTCTGTGAAAGGGTTGTATACACAGAGACCCCCAAATGCTAAAGGAGCTGAGAAACCAAAAGAGGAGGCAGACAAATCCAGTTTGTTGGTATTGGGTGATTTATTAAGGAAACTTAAAGTGTGGTCTTGGGCACCACGAGGCAGGTAGATCTCCACACTACAACCCCTCAACCCAGAGCTTATATTTTGGGCAAAAAGCATATGTGCTCTGGACAGAATATATAGGTGGCTACAGGCATCACAGCCTTGATTTCTGCAACAATAAGAAGGAAACTTACAATAAATATGTGTTCATACATAAAGAGTAATACATCAACTAGAACTTTTTTTTTCAAGATGGAGTCTCACTCTATTGCCCAGGCTGGAGTGCAGTGGCGCAATCTTGGCTCACTGCAACCTCTGCCTCCCAGGTTCAAGCAGTTCTTCTGCCTCAGCCTCCCAAGCAGCTGGGATTACAGGAATGCGCCACCACACCTGGTTCATTTTGTATTTTTAGTACAGACGGGGTTTCACCATGTTGGTCAGACTGGTCTCGAACTCCTGATCTCAGGTGACCTACCCACCTCAGCCTCTCAAAGTACTGGGATTACAGGTGTGAGCCGCTGTGCCTGGCCCAACTAGACATTTTAGAGGCACTCCTGGGACTTGGTGTTAAGCAGATGGATTTGCATTTAAAATAAAGTCGCTCTTGTTCCCACACCAGCTCTATTTAAGTATGAAAGTGTTTTCCATCAGTTCTTGTGGTTTGGAAGCAGGGAAGAAGCATAACTCAGGCATAAATCCTGCTTCACATTAGTGTTGTGATGGGGAATGGTGGTTCCAAGGTGAACCCTCTGTGATTGCTGAACCTCTCTTCCTGCTCTAGGGATGACAGAAGAAAGGGAGAGTGGATTAAAGGAGAGTGTGTTTACTCTTTTTCAGCTTGATCAGGGTTTCTCCATGGCAGAGGTAGCTGTGGCCCCTGACTGTCTAGATCACAGCCAAGCAGCTGCTCTGCTGCTGCCCTGAGTGAAAGAACAGGAATATCCCCATTCCGGACAAGCACTGCCATTTTAACGTTGACCTTGATCAAATTCTTTTTTTTTTTTTTTTTTTTACTTTGGCTAGGGGAGTGACTCTATGTGTGGTGAAACTGTCCTCACCCATTTTACATTTGAGGCAAAGCGATAATCTTTTGATTACACCCAACACAGGTGACATCTGTACTTTGAACAGTTAAGTGTGGCAGCCAATGTGTTGTGAACTGAACGCGAGCCCAGGAATCTCGTCCAGCGAGAGGGTCCCAAACCTGGAAGAGAGCATTTGTGGAAAAAAAGGAAAAAGAGCAGGGTCTGGAGGACTGGATGGGCTACACCCAAGCAGCAATTTTATTTGTGCAGTAGGTTCCATTATAAACTTTTCTACTTAATGTTGTTTACGTCAGATCAAAGCATTTCTCTTTTTTTTTTTTTTTTCAGAAAAGGGTTGCAGGCCAGGAAAAGAGATCATTTGAAATGTGTTGATTTGTGACTTTTATTTTATTTTTTGAGAGAAGGAAAAAAAAAAAGGAGTGAAGGAGAGGAAGAAAGAGGAAGAAAAAGAGGGAGAGAGAAAACAGAAATGTTGCTTTATTCTAAAAAATGGGCATTAATAATGGCCAATCAATATTTCATTTAAACCTATGAGTAGGTGTGATGTGGTATTGACAAGAATGTATATTTTGTGTATTTAAAGTGGAAAGCTCTATAAATATTTATTAAGTTTACTTGTTCCAGATCTGAGTTCGAGTCCTGGATATTCTTATTAATTTTCTGTCTCATGGAGTCTAAGTCTCTATGTATCTGGGTGTTAGGATTGTTAGCTCTTATTGTTGCATTGAGCCTTTTACCACTATATCTTTGTTGCTTTAAAATCTATTTTATCAGATGCGAGAATTGCAACTCCTGCTTTTTATTTATTTATTTATTTTTGCTCTCCATTTGGTTGATAAATCTTTCTCCATCCCTTTGTTTTGAGTCTTTGTGTATCCTTACATGTGAAATGGGTCTGGATGTAGCATACCGTTGGGTTTTGGCTGTATCTTTTGATTGGGGGATTTAGTCGATTTAAATTTAGGATTACTGCCATTTGATGTTAACTGGCTGTTTTATCCATTCATTGATGTAAATTCTTCTTTATGTTGATGCTCTTTACTTTTTGGTATATTTTTAGAAAGGCTAATACTGGTTGTTTCTTTCTATGTGTAATGCTTCTTTCAGAAGCTCTTGTAAAGCAGTCCTGGTGGTAATAAAATCTCTGAGTTCTTGCTTGTTCATAAAAGATTTTATTTTTCCTTCAGTTGTGAAGCTTAGTTTGGCTGGATATGAAAGTTCTGTTTTTTAAGGATGTTGAATATTGGCCCCCACTCTCTTCTGGCTTGTAGAGTTTCTGCTGAGAGATCTGCTGTAAGTCTGATAGGCTTCCCTTTGTGGGTAACCTGACCTTTCTCTCTGGCTGCCCTTAGTATTTTCTCCTTCATTTCAACACTGGTGAATCTAATGATTATGTGCCTTGGGGTTGGTCTTCTTGAGGAATATCTTTGTGGTGTTC